GGGGGGGAGGAGGGGGGGAGAGATTGAGAGGAAGAGTGGGAGAGTGAGACAGAGAGGGAGAGAGAGTGAGAGGAAGAGTGGGAGAGTGAGACAGAGATGGAGAGAGAGTGAGAGTAAGAGAGAGAAAAAAATATATATTATTTCTAAAAAAATAGACTGATCCTCACCTGTTTGCATATAGTGCCAGATGTTTTGATTTCACAACAGACTTACTTGCCCAGTTCATACCATCTGATAGGAATAAAAGAGAAGGAATAATATAGAAGGCAACATAAATAATTATAGCATTCTATATTTTTCAACTCCAGGCAATGTGACCTTCACAGCATGAAACATTGACAGGAATCAGTATCATGAAAAAAACTGGCAGAGGGCTGGAGTGATGGTAATGATACATTTCAATAAAGTTCTTAGGGAAAGATTAGCCTCCTATTTCTAACCACAGTGACTAACAGTGCAGGGTATGTTACAGAAAAATTAATACTACAATAAAAAAAAAAAAACACAAACAATACAATGTTACTTATTGTCACCATTACAGAGTTCTAGACTAGCTAGACAAATAATATGTAGTCTGACTCAATATCAAATGCCACCATGCTTAAACATAGGAGACCCATGATTAATGTGCATGAGGGAGAAAAATGAAAAATAAATTTCAGTTGAAAAATACTCTTAGAGCAATACTGTAGTGGTGATGCAAATATAGAGTACTTTTTATTTCTATACATGTATTTGTTTGTAAATTGCTTCACTTATAAACATGTCTTTATATATACAATAATTTCAACCCCTACGATCCAGGTGATGAGGTCACATAAAAATTTGGCTTGAGGGGTGGGTGATGTGAATATGCTGTGATGGGAAAATCTAGCTTGGGCTGGGTTGACACAAACTTGCCATTGTGAGCATTGCAGCTGAAGGCTGGGGTGTTAGAAAAGACACCATAAGTACACAAATATCTTGGGGGGTGATAAAACTCATTTGGCATTGAGAGAGGAGCTTTTGCATTATTTCCAATGATAAATGAGTGTGGAATGTATTGTCCTTGAGCCATGACTAGAAGAGCGCTGGCTCCAGGGAGGATGCCAGTTCCACACTCAGCATCCTATTCCTGTCTGCTGTGACCAGCAATGCAGGTTGCATTACAGAAAATTGAATAATACTAAACAGGGAAAAAAATCACACAAACAATAAAATGTTATTTATTGTTATTATTCTTGTACTGAGTATAAATTAGTGTGTGTGTGGGTGAGTGAGTGAGTTAATGAGTGAGTGAGTGAGTGAGTGAGTGAGTGAGTGAGTGAGTGAGTGAGTGAGTGAGTGAGTGAGTGAGTGAGTGAGTGAGTGAGTGAGTGAGTGAGTGACTACCTAGAGAGATGATATGGAGTCTGTGAAAGGATAATGCAAATTAAATGACAAATATAGCCATTCACTAAAAGGGGAGGCATACAATCTTGTCAATGTACACAAGAGTTTTCGTGTGCTCAGCCTACAAGTCGCACACCCGTCAGAGCAGTCACACATAGGCTGATTGTCCATATTTTGGACCAAGGGGTCAAGAGTTTACATATGGGCTCAAAAGGCAATGGTGTACATTTTGTAAATATTTCCTATAGCTTTCATCTAAAATTGGCATATAGATGTATATCAATTTCACTTGTATATTTAATTTATATACCATAATACACTTTTCACTGGCCATTATATTTTGGGATATAAAATACCATTTAACAGTATAATTCCAAGTAGTGGAGGAGGACCACCAAGGCAAAATTAATTTGAAGCCAAAAGGTGACATGTACTCTAACGTGTACATTGTGGACCGAAAAACGGATGGCAACGTATCATGCCCATTCCCGCAAAATAAAATTTTTTAGGTACCAAATGTTGCTCACAAACTATTAATCGAGCCAGGCGCAAACAGGGGAAACTGCCAATGTGCGCCAACAATCCCGTTATTACGTTCACTTGCTAAACATTTTTATCCATCAGCATGGGTTAAGGAATAGGAAGTTTCATAATTCTACAGGTAAATCTCCCATATGAATAACATTTCCTAACTCAGTTACATTACTGACATATATATCTAAAATATTTCTACTGAACAATTTCACAGCCTAACTGGATATTTTTGCCAGCATTCAAGGATTAGAGAAGCTTACCGGGAGAATAATAAAGCTTGCAATAATCATGTAAAACTGAAATTAAAACAGAAGAATAATTCCTTACCTAGCTTCTTTACCATTGTCACAAAACAGACTCCGGTCATGAATGCATCATAACCAGCATTGTGTGCCATGCCATCTTCTTCACAACTGTGACTTGCATACCCTTCCTCTGGAGCAAAAGTCGGAGGTTCATATTTCTCACGCAGGTCCTTATACAGAGATCCTAAGGCTGTGAAGGGAATATCTACACTGAAAGAAACATGCAAATAAGAAACATTGATCATTCATTTTATGTCATCTTCTGGAATCAAACATGTAGTTTGACACCTTCATAAACTAAGAACAAAAGTACAAAAACAGTTGCACAATTGTTAACCATTGGCACCAGATACAATGGTGTGTGTGTGTGTGTGTGTGTGTGCATATGCGTGTCAGTGTGTGTGTGCATATGCGTGTGTGTGTGTGTGTGTGTGTGTGTGTGTGTGTGTGTGGTGTGTGGTGTGTGTGTGTGTGTGTGTTGTGTGTGTGTGTGTGTGTGTGTGTGTGTGTGTGTGTGTGTGTGTGTGTGTGTGTGTGTTGTGTGTGTGTGTGTGTGTGAGTGAGTGAGTGAGGATGAGTGAGTGAGTGAGTGAGTGAGTGAGTGAGTGAGTGAGGAGTGAGTGAGTGAGTGAGTGTGATGAGTGAGTGAGTGAGAGAGAGAGAGTGGGTGTGAATGAGTGTGTTAAACTAGCCCATATAACAACAGGGGGGAGGAACTTGCCATTCTCAGGGGAACGATGACTGAATTGTCAGAATTCTATAAGCATCACTAAATTCTGAGGTATCTAATTTTTAGCAAAATTCTTAAAGAAAAGTTTAAATATTTCTTATTCATACCTTTCCCAGAGATATACTTACTTTCAAAACTATAAAATTTTGGTGTACATTTCATGGAAAATTTATAACCAAAGCACAGCAAGTATTTGGGGGGGGGGGGGGGGGGGGTATAAGTTTCACAGGGTAAACCACCTTTAAATAGTGATGGAGAGCACTGTGAGACTTATAGTGCTCTTTGAAAAGGTGAGATATTTCAGAATTGCAAATGTCTCAAAAATACTGAAAATAATATTTTTCAAACAACAGCACTAATGTAGAACTTTGAAAATCGAAAGAGGGACAGTAAACAGGTTTATCTAGAAAAGTATAATGGTACTTAACCTTTACTTTCTAGGAGAAGACTAAACATTCAAAGTACCACATTACTTTTCTAGAATCACTGCCTTACTGTTTAATTTTCCATTTACCCTGCTCTACACAGTGTTCATTCCTGTCTATTTGTTTGAACATCTACTTGCTACTTTTTTTACAATATTATTATAAATTAGTTTCCAACTATTAAAATGTGAAATTTTTTGAGATATGAGAATTAAAGGACAAAGAAATAAAAGGTTTATTTTTTTAATATTCAGTTTTTAAAAATATATATAAAAGGGTCTCTCCTTTGGTAATTATGGGAAGAAATGATAGAAAAACCCATAATATGCAAACATGGACCCAAGCGTTAAAAGGATTTTTCATGGGAAGAAATCTAACTACTTTGTTGTCAAGTTACAAGCCTGCACTTAACACTAGATACACCTCTCTCTCCTGCATAACTAATTTTAATAGTTCTAATGGCCAACTTCCATATCTGCCTTTCCAGTAACCTAATGATCAAATGGAGATAGCTTTTTTTTAGTATTTTCAAATCAACATGGAACTATTATCTGATTGAAATTGAAAACTAAGTCTGCCATATTCTAATATCTGAGGGGACTTAGTTTTTTTCTTTTTCTTTCACAAAATCACTTATAAATCACTAACCAAAATGGTGGATCCTTTGCTAAGAGCTTCGTATCATACACAGTTGGAATATTATTTTTGACTAATGTCTTGAAGTTATCAAAATGTTCTGGTAAAGGATGAACTGTTTTATTGATCAAATGCAGCAAGTCCAAGACGAGATTGTGTCCAACAAGTGTCTTTCCACTTTCAATATGTCTTTCGGGACAACATGAGTGAAGCCAACCTGTAAAGATATAAATAACTGAAACATCTCGCCCTAAGAATCTAAATAAATTTATACCCTATTGGTAAAATACATTCATCATGTCTCCAAATCCTTAGATCAAATTAACTTTACTTTCATATTACAAAATAATTAACTAACCTGATCATTTAGTTGTTTCTCTCTTTCTTTTTCCAGGAAGGTTCTTCGATTTTGTTGAGTTTCAAATTTTCTGATTTCAACATTTCTCTCACCCTCAGTTGTTACATTACGGATGAGAATATTCTGGTACTTAGATGCAATATTATTGTATAGAATCTTTCTGAAGAAGCCTGTTAGAGTAGAGCCTGGGATGACAAGAACATCACGAGTTTCGTCTGCCATGAAGTCTTTCATTTTTTCTTCAATTTCTGACAAGAACTTTTTGGCACTTTCTTCTGCTATCTTTGGAAAGAAATAAAAAACTATTAAAATATGATCATTCTCTACATATATATTTGTAAATATATCAATTGATACATTATACTTGGGAAAGAAACAATCTAATTAATTTTCTTTCCAATATATTCAAAATCCTATTTTATCTGTCTTTTTTCTTTTTAATCATTTCTCTCTCCCTTTTCTTTTCCCTCCATATAACGCATTATTTAACTTTTCCTCTCACTCGCATATATATTTTCCCTGTTCCCTCCCCCCCTCCCTCTCTCTCCCT